ATCCATCACTGAATCAGTCCTTGGCCCAGAGCACATCTTTACAGCACTCTGAGCTCCCCTTAAACTCCAGCTAACCAAGCTAAACATTACTGGGCAGCAAAACAGATATATAACACCTGATCAAACCCACTGATTTCTCAATCTGCTGTTCTAAAGTGCACTGCTATGAGGGAGACTGTTTAATTTGGTGACATTTGGTTGCCAGATGTTTTCAGTAAGTTAGAGGTCTAGTGCCCCTAGTGGCTAAATGTTACACAGTGTTACCCTAAGACATTCCAGGGCTCATCTTTAGAAAGTTTGTGCCTTAAAAGCTGATGCAAATATGTTTGCTTGCACAGAGCAGATCTTCAAAGGTAATTAGTGATTTAGCAGACAGTGCATGCAAACCATTTTATGCCTTTGTCTTCATCAATACGAAGATCATATTCTAATGACCAAACTATGAATTTTATTGGTGGAGGATATGCCACTGTAAACATTTTTCAAAGCAGTTTCTGAAACTTGACTGCGGTCTCAGTTTTTGTTTCTTTTTGGTACCTTTAAAAGTGAGGTGCAAACTAACACTCATAAAAAGAAAAATTGGCATCTGTTACTTGTACTTCTTGCAGTAGGTATTTTTTTCTGCTCCGATTTAATAAAATATTTCCTTTTAAGTTTTTTTTTTTTTTGTACTTTTGTTTGTAGTACTTTGAGATAGACTATGAGGTGCACAATGAATATTATTTGGTATTATTTTTCTTAATTAGCTCCAACTACATGGCTTAGAACTCATCTTTCTTTAACAGCCACTCTGAAATTGCCAGGCGAACATGTAATCCACTTATTTTAATGGGCAGAACTTAACCAGTTTTCACGTTTTAATATTTGTGTAAATATCTGTAGATCAACCCCAACACCTACATTTATTGCCTATACAAAAAATAAATGCATGTGCAATTTAGAACCTGTTATCTGGAATGTTTTGGGATTTTTGTGCAGAATATATAACAGGTATGAATATTTTAATCCTTCATATAAAGGTTATTAAATTGATGTTGTTGAATTTCAGCTAAATCTGACTGACGACCAGTCATGGTACCCCAGCCGTCTACTTGGATTCTAAAGGTGCAATGTCAGGAAAGAGAACCTCCTTTTCAGGAGCAGGAAAAAAAGAAGCGCTGGACTGAGCTGTTCAACCAACTGGACCTCAACAAAGATGGACACATTGACATGTTGGAGCTGCGGGCAGGGCTGGCAGGCCGAGGGCTCTCCAAAGGCTCCCTGGAGAGGGTGAGAATGAGGCCTAAATCCGTCTTTTTTCAGGGTAAAGGAGGAGCATTCAGGGTGTGGATGGAGACAACGGATAGATATTACATAACAAACAGATCTTTAAAAGGTTCTGTGTCTTTATTGGAGTTACAACATAAAGGCAGGGAATATAGAAAAAACTATCTCAGTTAAATAATAAAAAAAGAAAAACCTAATTATTTAATAATTATAATTTCCTATTGTTGTTATTTAATAATTTTATTATTTATTTAAAGTAAAAAAAATCACAAAAAGCTGCAACACAAAATTATTTTGAAATGTCTCTCACTAATAAATCACAGAATCCTGAACCTATTTCATTTACTATTTAAGCCTCCTAACAAGACACCTACTACAGTTTATCATAACCTTTTAACACAAACTTTATAATTTTTAATACATTGATTTTTAGACCTCTATATTATCAGTGTGATATACACTCACCGGCCACTTTATTAGGTACACCTGTCCAACTGCTCGTTAACACTT